GCCCGCCGGGGCTCCGCCGCCCCCCGCCCCTCTGTCCGTGTGTCCGGCCGCCCCGGCCGCTCCGTCGGTCCGTCCCCCGCCGCCCCGCGCTCCTTCACGCATCTCGCTATTCACCCCGCGCCTCGCAGACAAGGTTACCCCAGAGCGGCTCTGTAATCCTTCACTGAAATAGGCTTTATTGATTGCTCTGGTCTATTGTTCCCTTTTCAAGTCCCCCAAGTTCAAGTTCATCCCGGTGTTACATCATGTCTCGTTGCTAAGGGCAACCAGACAGCCCCAGACGTGACCGCCATCCGCAAGCGCGGCGCTGCGCCCTCCCACCGCCGCCAGCCGCGCTGACGTCGAGCCCCGCTCCCAACACACTGAACTATTTATTCTGCCTAATTTATGACCTCCACAGCAAGAGAGACCCCCACTCCAAAAACCAACACTGTTGTATATTTAATTAATCTGTCTTTCTCTGGCACTTGGGAAAGTTAGACAAAGGTCTAATTATTGTGTGTCGCTCCCCACACTTTTCTTTTTGGGGTGACTATTTGCATGGGAAAAGAAACGGCGAGGCTGGGCGCGAGTCCCCTCCCTCCAAAACACCTTTTTTTTCCCCCCTGCCCTATTGACATTTCATGAAATACTTTAGCTGCTTAAGGGAATTAGAAAAAAAAAAAAATCTGATGTGAATGTAACTCCTTCGGAGTTGGTATTCAGTAACACAAATCAACTCATGACATGTTTAAATTTAAATGCTAACCACACACTCTGCGAGTTACTTTAAAGGTTAGTTTTTAATCAATAGAAGTTGCTGACTCGGGAGTTTTGAGCGGCGCAGTGCAGCTCTGGGGCCTTTGTCTCGCGTTGGGCTTTCAAACTTTTTTTTTTTTTTTTTTCTTGAGATGATTTTAGCAATGATTTGCAGACACAGAGCGCTATTGTGCTCCTGACTAGCAACATGTCAATAAAGGAGTAGAGTTACCATGCACTGGGGTGTCAATATGACTCCTGCAGACACTGCTCGGCCTTAATACCAATGAAAAACTTAATTAACCCTTACAGGAGAGACCCAAACCAAACCGCACGCTCGTTTCAAAACTTCCTTGCCGGGGCTCCGCGTGGCCCTGAGTGAAAAGCTGCTTTTACGGGACCCAAACTCGGAGCGCTTCGCCAACAGCTGCGTCCCGCTCCGCCTGCTCCTGCAGCCCCACTTGGATGAGATGTTTTATGGGCTGAGGCAGCAGAACAGCGAGACAGAGAGCACATTTACCCAGCAGATCCCACCAGCACCGCTCTCGGGACATTTAGACCGCTCTCGGTTTAATTTAGAGCATCTTACAGCTGAAGCGCACACACAGAATGATCCTCCTTTTTCTGCTAATCATTTTAATATTAAGATCTCATATCCCCCTCAAGCCTCCTATACACGTCTAAGTCTTCCAGGATTAGGGCTGAAGAGCACCATTGTTCCTCTGGAGCACCTGTGAAACTTCTCTGCGAGGGAGAGGAGACCTCCGGCCTCAAATGAAAACGTCTAGGAAGCGTATTAGGCACTTGGAGACCCGATAGCTGGGATCTATCAAGGGTTTTTTTTCATGATTAGGGAGCTTAGAATGGAAAAAAAGAAGCCTGGATCCCTACATTTAGACGGCTGAGGTATTTTGTGCCTTGCTTTAGAGTGCTGCTCAATGTCTGAGCACCTCACCCATTTCATCCCTTCAGTTCTGTAACCTATCCGACTGCACCCACTCGGAGAAGGCGGTGTTGCCTTTCTTAATTTAAAATCTCCATTTAAATCATGGGCCCTATCACAGTACAGTCAGGATGATATTATCTCCGTCCTTTTTCATAAAAGAGCTGGTGTTTTATTTCCCTTCTATTTACTTTGCAGTACTGTTCTCCCAGCGAGTTTAGAGCTAAATGAACCCACTGGAGCTAAAGGTCCTGCTCACTAAAATTGCTGCACGGTTGTCGGTGCCACTGCGAGTCTGTATTGTCCTGCCGAGCATCTCGCTGTCCTTCTCCAGCGCTCAAGGTGAAACATCAGAAAGAATTCTGCAGTCCGGTACGAGATCTTTGCTTCCCTTTCTCCAGTCAAATGAAGAAGTAATCTCATCAGGTTGAAAAGTGCTGACTAAGGATTTAATAAAGTGCCTGCAGATGTGTGTCATCTCTAAGGTATTCAACTCATGTAATGCAAAACAGTTCCACACTGAATGTGCTTATAAAATTCCATTTAACCATTGCAGAGCTCTATTTTACTGTTCTCTGAGGAGTATTATCACACTTTTTTTCCCCTCCCTAATTTACAGCACCATGAAAGTTGAAACTCGTATTTGAGAATCCTCACAGTAGTAAGGTTTTATGATCCATAAGCAATATCTACTTGACTGAATCCTAAACAGGAAGTCTGAGATGGCAATTATGGTTCTCTGATAGCGCAAGTCTATTTGTTTCTTATGCACTCCTGGAGATACCAGAGATACACAAAAATCCTCCAGCCACTCCTGGAGGACAACTGGCTGCTTTGCACAGGAAGAACAGCGAGGAAACATTCTGTGATACTGGATGTTTAACAGGCGAAAAGCTCAAAGTGCCTCATCGACTCCTGTAGCAGTTTCTGCCTGAGTCAGGAGCCCAGGAACAGGCCCATTGTTTATGGAAACCTTCTGAAACCAGCCTTCCTGCACTCCGTCCCTCACCCCCAGCCTCCCTGCAAGCACCGCTCACGTGTTTCCAACCAGAACAACAATCCAACCCAAACTCGTTCCATTTGCTTCTACCTGCACATCTGCCCCAACAATGGGACCTTTCAGCTCGCGCAGAAAGCCGGGGCTGTGCACCCTCCCTATCTGTTTTTCAAATTAAGAAGTTAAACAAAAGTCCTCAAGGGCAAAGTTTAACGCTGCGGAAGGAGGTTGTTAATGTGGAATCCAGAACTGGGTGTGACAGTTGGCTTATTTCTCTGGGCGATGTAGGTTATTTAAGGACATTCACACGTTTGAAACTCTGACAAACTCCACGCACAGCAGCTTTGGCTTCCCCGTACCCACTCAGGGCTCAGACCTGCCCAGTGATACCCATATTCTGTAGGCTGCAGCCTAGTTTGTGTGCCTGGTGGCAGGATGGGTTGGTCCCATCGGGACTTCAAATGCGGCTGCTGTGGCGCTGCGGCCGTTGCTGCCCCGGGCGTGTGCAGGAAGAGATCGCTGCACGGGCCCGGGCGGGAAAACCCACCTGTGATAAGAACCTAAATAAAATAAAACCCCGCAGCTTTAGAGCTCGCCGGCAAAGAGGCTGTTTGGGCAGCCCAGCTGAACCCAAGCCACGACCGCTGGCACCTGTGAGGTCTCACTGCTGAGAGTTGTTTTGTTTGGGGATGACATTTCAGTCACCTCAAGAACTCTGAGGCTCTCACGAACATTAACCCCAAGGAGGTGAATTAGGGTAACGAGTCCTTCTGGTTGGAAAGATAAAATAAGAATGTGAGCAGCTAGGGAGCGAACTGGGCCTTTTGGCATCACCTTGTGAGAGGTGCCGGGAAGGCTCTTCCCCACGGTGCATCGTGTGAAAGCAAGGGGACAAAACTGGGCCTTTGATGCCACTTCAAAAGGGTTGCCAGGGTGAGGGGAGACAGTGGCAGTTCAGCTTCTGGTGCGACTGGCTGGAAGGCTCCTGCAGACACAGCAACTGTGTCTGGTTTACCCCACATCTGAATTCATTCCACTCTTCTAGTGGTGCTTCCTCCAGAATTTCTCCAGGCCCAAAATCTGATCCTACTCTGTAGGACCGAAAGGTGAATATAAAAGACAAGGTCACCTTTGTGACTATGAAAGTTATTTTCTTAGAGCTGGGATTAATTATTTAGTAATTATATTTTCCAGACTGAAATACCAACAGGGACGTAAGTAGCATGTTGGTCATCCCCAAAGGGACATAAAACAGTGAGAGAATCTTCTGGTTGTCCAACATCCGCACCAGGGAGAGTCACACGCCCCAATCCGAGCACATTTATATTGTCTGGAGGCAGATAAAACCTGTCCCAGGAGGGACACTGGTCTCCAGGCAATGCATACAGTAGCTCTGCATCCAATAGGTTTTGCGGGAATGCCAGTTGTGGCAAACTGCATTAAATTACGTGCAATAATTTTGTAATATGCACTTTTGCCTGCTGACTATTAAAAATGTATAGTAGTCCAAAACCACTTCTCTCCTGGGACCAACAAACTCACTTCAGGCAAGATTTCTGCTTGGGTTCAAACCTCAACTTGGGAACAGCTAGTGTTTTTAAATAAGTCACCCCAAACCCTCCCAAACCTATGAAAACACACTCATACAGTAACTCCTGCTGTTGTTCCAGACATCTGAATGTTCCAGTAAAGTGTCCCAGCTGGCCCCAGATGTTTCTTAAGTATAAAGCAATGCTCTGAGTGCTGGACCCCCTGCTGCCCGGACCTGGAGCTCAGCAGATTAAAGATTGACTGTGCTATGACATATTCGCATTTAGCCTGAATATAATACAGCAAAGACTTATCAATGGCAAATGTTTGAAATGTAACCCCGTCAGCAGAGTAGGCTGGCACTCTAAATATGATGTATAAATAATGTATGGGAACTTAAGATCTAAATTAGATCTACAGGAAGAAAACTTTCCCTTTTCTCTGCCTCTAAAAGAAAAGTTCTCTCACAATGAGGTCATTTTCCTGCCCGTCTTTTGGTTTGTAAAATTGCTTTTAGGCAGAGGGTCTTCCCTTTACTTGGGGAATGTTTTGCCAGTTACAGTTTTCCTCCAGTTTTCTAAAAAACCAAGCAATAAAGTTCACTTATTTGTTAGCGAATTGACTTTGAAATCTGCAGAATCACTTCTAAACTTTGCGTGGTCGGCTGAAAGCGGACCGCAGCCACGCTAAACTGCAACCCTTGCTGTTTAAAAAAAGAAAAAAAAAAAAAAAAGATAGTGGAGGGAAAGAGAGGAAAAAGAAAGGGAGAAAGAGAGAGAAACAATCCCATTTTGGTTTTTGTTAGAGGACGGCATACTACATAGATCAGAGACTTTTCAAAAAATAAAAACCCCCACTGTACACAAAGCACAGGAAAATGTGAGGAAAAAAGGAAAAACCTAAAAGCAGCTTAGAATGTGTTAACTCTGCCATTCTGTCAGCTTAAAGAGTATTTTATGCTTGATCAACAGCTCTCTTTTATTATGCTTTTCTTTCATTCATTCAAGACATCAAAGACCAGAACCACCAGTGTACCTGATCTACCAGAAGAACTTGTAAGGGTGTTCTAAAGAAACGGGGGTATTGGGAGCCAGACACCCCTGCGGACAAGGCAGTTCAAAGAGAATATTTCAACAATGATTACATTTTGTAAATCTTTGTACGAAAGACAGCTTATTTCCTGCTTTTTTCATGAAAAATAGATTCTATCCATTAAAGTGAGCCCACAGTATGAAAGTTACTTGAGATCTGAGGTACAGCAAGCGGATTAAGTGGAGGGTGAGATGAAATCTTTGAGAGAGACGATGGCTTTCTCTGATATTTGTTGCTGCCATAAGGTTTTCTGAGTGGGCTAGAAACTTTTTTATTTTTTTTTTTAAATTTTATTATTTATTTGTAGACTTGCTGGTGGCAGTGAAGCCGTTTGCAAAAGCAAAATAAACCGGAATGAATCAGAGAGGAAAATTGCAACAAATAAAAAAAAGAACTGAGAAAACAAACGGCTGCAAAAAAACCTTTTGACATGTTTGAAAGGAAAACTATATATATTTGCCCCGCTCTGAAAATCGCAGGCGAGCCATTTAAATCCTGCAGACAAACTCCGAAGTGCAGCGCACAGACCCAAGCCAGCTGTTTACTTTTCCAAGCCCGTGGTGGTTTCTGCATTGATAAACTATATAACCTCACACACACAGAAGGGATTTTAGCTATGCCAGACCTCATTGCTCTGTCCCGCTCTCTTTATGTGCTGTCACAGAATAAAAATGATCCTAACACAAACCCTGAAATAAGATCCTGCTCCAGAAAGAACATCTTTGTAGATATTTCCTGAGTTACTGCCAAGCTGGATTTTTTTCGCTCATTCATCCTTTCAAAGTTTTGCTACAGACATAGCCAAAATTGTTCGGGAGTAATCAGAAATGACCAAAATATGACCCCCTAGCCAAGGCCAGCTGTGGGCAGGAGGGGAGGAAGGTGCCCCACGCCTGTGGCTGGGACAGCAGCCACCTCTGCCACCACACCTGGGTGACACCCGCCAGCATCAGCACCTCGCTTCCCCCGTCCTACAGACTTTTGCAAGAGAAGGAAACAGCGGGATGCACGATATCAAAGAGGCAAAAGCAACTTTAAACCCACCTCGCGGTTTACATCTACTATTTCGAGGTAAAAGCAAAAGTGCTGCGAGAGGGGTTGAGTTCTGCACTTTACGCCTGTTTTCAGACAGCCCCGTATTTTCCTCTGCTGGAAGCACAGTTAAATTTGCTCTAGAGTGCAACAACCCCGTATTTCTTACAGCAGATCTCACTCATTTCTTTCCTTTTGTGAAACAACAAACACATGCACGGGGGCTCGGAGCCGCTTATAACCTCATGCCGGGAAGTCCCGTGGAAACCGGGACGGCACACACACACTGCTGCGACGGGACTTTCCAGCATTTTGCTTGGATGAAAGCAAAACCCTTTGGCTCCCCAGACTACAGCTCGCCCCTGGACACGGAACAAAAGCCTCTGGGTGCCTGGGGACCCCCCAGCCCCGAGGGTGGGTGCCCGGGGCCTGCGGCGGCCCCGCTCCCAGCCCCTCACCGCCGCCCTCAGCCCGGCCCAGGCTCCGGCTGCGCCTCCCCAAGTTCAAGTTCAGGTTTAAGGGAAATAAACCTCTCCTCGGGAGCCTGCAGCCAGCCCTCATTTCCATGTGATCCCTCTGAACTTCGCCTGCGCCAGCGCGCCCTGTTTCCAGGGCCCGCCGAAGGAATGTTTTACAGTTAGAGCCCGCAGTGCTTTCTCAGGCATTTCAGACCCAGAGGCCCAAGTTTCAAGCTGCAGCATTAAAAGTTTCCACAGAGCTACTGCAGAGAGAGGGAGGGAGGGGAGGGAGGGAAATGAGGAGAACAATATCGTCTTAATTGTCTCTATATAGCTCCACAGTTAAAGTATTACTTTTTAAAGGGACATAATTTATTCTGGAGGCACGGTGTTATAACAACCAGTACATACTTTCACCGCGGCGTAACCCGCTCTATTCTTCATTGTGCTTTCCGGTGGTGTTGCTTTTGCAGAACTCCTTGTTACGCCGTCCCCGATACTGTACTTACAGTTTTATTCAATTTAAGCCAGTTCCTGCAGTCCTCAGGCGAGCAAAACCGCCTTCCCCCTGTCCCCCCCCAACCAAGCCTCAGGAGTTCTGCCTGCACCAGGACTGCAAAAATAATCTCCCCTCAACCACCGTTTTTTTCTCCCCCCAAAAAGTTTCTTTACTTTTATTGCTTTAGACAATCGGGGAAAGTCATCCAAAGAAAATCAACCCCCAGCCTGGGCCTCCCAGGCTGGGCTCGCAGCGAGACAGGCCGAGCACACACGCACAGACACACACGTACACACACACCCAGCGCTCTGCCCCGCCGCCCCTGCCCCGTCCCGGGCCGGCCACAGCAGCTACGTGAGGGGCCCAGGGGTCCCAGTGCGATGGATGGCTCTGCCAGCAAGAGGCTGTGGCTCTTTGCTTTGCAGTTTAGAGTACAAAAGGTAGTTTTCTGCTCTTTTTTTTCCCCCCCCTCACATTTCTCCGCTGGAGAGCAGGGAGGAGGGAAAGGTCACTACGGCTTTCAGAGGTTGAAGGCTGAGGTGGTTTTTCCTTGCCCTGGTCGTCCAGCTGCTGTATCATGCTGGCTCTGACAGCTCCAGTGGAGCTGTAGGGGACCCATCCACCACCCCCTGTCCAGGGGCTCCCCATGCTGTAACAGGAGAAAACCCATCATGGGTCAAAAAGTTGACCTACAACTACCAAAGGTGGTTCAGCTGCTTCTTTTGACTGCCCTGAGAGTACTTCAGAGTACAGAGGAAAGCGAGGGGAGAGAATAACTTGGTCTGGACAGGAGAGAGAGCACTCCCTCCAAAATATCCAGAGGTATTGTGCTCTCAGTCTGGGTGAACAAATGAGCAGCCCCGTGAGGAGAGCAAAACGTGCTCAGCCTGATCAAAGCAGGGCAAAAACCAGGAGGGATGGGGTCGGTGGGGACCAGGAGGCACAGGGGAAGAGCTGGAATGTGGGCAGCAGGACACACTCCAGGCAAAGGGACAGCTGGGGACCCCAGGATGAGGGAGCCAAGACAACAGCATGTTTTGAGAGGTGGGTAGAGGAAGGCTTGGTTTGGAGACCGCAAAAAAGGAAGAGGAATTCGGGTTTTGGCAAGTCCTAGGTGTTACTGGGCAAGGAGATCAAAACCGGTCTCCAAATTAACACAGACAGAAATAGGAGCACAGAGGCAACTCTGGCACTTTTGACCTTAAAATTACAGAAGACAGTGAACTGGAGGAATAATGACTTGATTCATCAGGAACCCCCCTTCCCAAAACTCCTCTTAAGAAAGAGAAAGCCAAGAGGGCATTGAGCTGAACACAAAAACCTCTCCTGAATGTGGGAACTTTTGACATCTGCATTTTTATTGATGCTTTGTACCTTGCTAAACTGCTCTAAGAAAAATGGAAGGTCGTGCATCATGCTTGTGCTCAGGGTCCCAGCTGTGAGCATCCATGAAGGGACTTCTGCCGTGGGGATCCATGAAGGGACTTCTGTCATGCAGGGATGAGTCCTGATACAGGACTTCCCTCATCCAGGGATGAGTCCTGTAAAGATCCACTGGGGTCAGGATGCTACAGGAGCTGTGAGAGTGGGGCAGGGAAAGACCACCCCAGGCTCCAGAGGTTGCCAGCTCCCCCTTGGAGAAATGGGAAGAGGCTTTGCAGCACATGATCCACCTTTGGATGAGGAGGGATGTATTAGACATGGCTGGCTAAAGGGAGTTGGGTCTTGGCCTAGCTTGGAGCAATTTTCACACATACTGTGAGATGCCAATGAAAGTCCTGGTGGAGTGTAAAGTCATTAAATGAGATGAAATTAAACAATTTAGTTATTTCTGCTTCATCATATTTGTGCAGTATGGCAGGCAGAATGAATTACTACTAATGATCAGATTTAGTAATACTAATTAAACTATCTCAATTTAATTAATACTAACAGAGAAAACAGACAAAACTACTAATGTAAACCTTGAACTTAAAATCAAAAGGTGCCTCTTCGCTTTTGTGAGTCACTGAATGTGAGGCTTTTCCCTGAAAATAGCCTGTGTAGAAGTGGCTCTTTGTACTCCCTAAGTAAGCTGCTCCATTGTATGGATAACTACAGTTCTCCAGCTTTCTTCCCCACCCCCCTTTTCTTTTTCCTAAATGTTACTACTTTTACTCCTTGTTTTCCCAAAGACCTTCTAGGAGAAGAATCTGAGCTCTGTTCAGACTCACTCAACTTCAACAGCACTGATAAAGCAGTTATCACTACTGGGACAAATTCTGCCCTTGGTGCTTGTAGGAAGAGAGTTTATAAAGAGCCTCTTGCTGGGAAATCATGGAATCACTGGATGGTTTGGGTTGGAAAGGGCCTTAAAGATCAGATGATCTTCCAAACCCCCTGCCACGGGCAGGGACACCTTCCACTGGACCAAATTGTTCCAAGCCCCTTCCAACCTGGTCTAAACTTTCAGATTTAGCCTACAAGACTGGTAATTTGGGAAAGCCCCAAACCCATCTCTACATCAGGGAAGACAGCTTTAGAGTCACTGAGAGTTAATACCTGTAACCACAAACTAAAAACTCCACAGATGCACAAAGACTGCACTGCAAATAAAAACTCCCCATAAAGAAAATGTGAACTTTAACCTTTATCTTATCTGAAAAAGACTAGATTTACTCTACTGTGCATAGTTCTAAGCAAAAGACAAGCATAATTAAACAAAAATGTTATTGTATTTCTAAAACAAACTCCTGCCAATAACAAATCTCCCATCTCCTCCTCTCATCAGCTTCAGTGAATGTACAGCCGGGTCCCATACCACAGATTCTCAGACATGATCTTTAACCTAAAGGACTATAAGAAAGTCCTTAAAGAAACCCTGACAAACCAGGGAACAGCTGAGCAAGAAATATAATGTGTCAAAGTGTTCTTCCAAAATCTTAAATCTCACTGTTTAGCACATGCAAAGATGGAAAAACCCAACCCCACATGAAAATGTCATATTTCAGTTGATATTTTCTTTTTTTTTTTTTAAAAAACAGGTACTTTTTTTGTTGTCATATTTAGAAAGATTTAGTTATTGCAAAAGCAGAAGAGGATACCTAAAGTTGCAAAAAGCTGCTCCAAGCAATGCAGAAATTTATAGAATCCTTAAATGGTTTTGGGTGGAAGAAACCTTAAAGTTTATCTTTTTTTCATGTCCTGCAGGGCAGAGACACCTTCCACTATTCCAGGTTGCTCCAAACCCCACCCAACCTGGTCCTGGACACTTCCAGGGAAGGGGCAGTCACAGCTTCTCTGCAAAACCAGGGCCTCCCCACCCTCAACAGGGAACAATTTCTTCCTAAATCATTGTGTTTGGCCTCAGAGGTGGGTGCACTGTGTTGGTTGTGACTTTGGTTACTCATATCTCATAATTAAAATTACATTTCAGTGCCTTCTGCCGTGCATTCAGCTGCATCTCTTCATGTGTAATATCCAGTGTTTGTATAGAAGATGCAACAGTTGGGTCTCACATGTGAATATGCCTGAGAATATTATGATTATAGTGTCACTACTGTTTCAAAGTTGAATACTAATAACTAAAGCAACTAAAGGGAAACCTAGGAAATATTTTTAATTTTAGCTTCTTGGTTTTTTGAGATCTTTTTCTTTTGAAATCCTGGTTTTAAATTAAACTTTCCCAGTTGTATCTCTGTTCAAGCAGAAAATGCTATCAAAGCAAAAGCCTAAAACGAGACGTGTTTTGCTGTTCTAAACTAAAACCAGGTAAAATTTGAAAGCTGCAACTTCCCATGCTGTTAGCAATCCTTACTAAGAACAGACACCTTTGTCAAATTGAAAATATAAACAAGTTTTACCAAAATTGAAGTTAATTCTGCTGTATTTTGAAACCCCAGTCTTTCCCCGCTGTGTTATTTATATTTCTCTAGGACAGTCCAGCACTAGGCAGGTGATGCTCAGTGTCTTGGGAACATGGAATCTCCTTCTCTGTTAAGAAAAGGCTTCTTTTGGTCCCTTCTTATGGAATTCAGTATTAATTCCAGAGTAGGAAAATTCTGCAAAGTGTTCATCTCTGGAGTTTGTTCATTCCTTGACCTCTGTGTTAATGCCATTAAACAAAGGTGATTCCTAGAAGAGAGGTAGCTTAATGCCTATCCATTGGGAAGGATGCAGGGATTGTGACCTTTAATATTTGACCTTCATTGTAGATCGTGGTCCTGATCCTTTGATTGTGGAATTTTTAAAAAGTATATATGGCAGTTGGCAAAAAATCTTAATGTTCCAGTAAATGCAAAAGCCATAAATTCAGCTGCTGACCTTTTCCATCCAGGTCACATGTGACACCTACTGGAGTTTGTCAGGCTGGGTGGAATTTATGGAGCTCATATAGGTATCAGCTGCAAAGGCTGAACTTTCATGAAATGTCTTTCAAAGGCACTTCCAAAACCCTTGTAAAAAGTCAGTGTGGCTTTTTTTTTTTTTTTTTTTTAAGGGTTTACATTCTGCACACATTTTAAAAGGTCTCATCGTGCCACCTCTGCGAATCTTCAGCACTTGGGAAACTTCAGCTCTTAAATTATTACTCTTTACAAAATAGAGAAATCAGGCCAGGCATGTAATTATTGCTATCACCAACTTCCAACAGCTCCTTCCCAAGCCTGGCTCTTCCTTCCCTTCTGGTGTGCAGCCTCCTGCCCCTCTCTGGGATCGATGCTATCGATGGTGTATTGTCACTCAGAGAAATAGGATTTGATAGTGCCCTCCAGCAGTTGCAAAAGAAGGGAAGGAATACAAAACCTACCCAGGTCCACACCGTCAGCGTGAGATCAATGCTCTCAATAATACTTTTGCCGCCACGTAGCGCCCTAACTGTTGCAATTAATAATGTAGAAGGAGCTGATTAACTTAAGTAAAGTGCTCTCCACTGTGTAAACACATAAAGATCTATAGGGCCAAAGAGGAAAGAACGAACAAAACGTCATTTTTATATTTTATGTGGACACATTCTTGCTTTCTATTCTGCTGTTGTAACAATTACTGTACTAGCCACTCTGACAGAGTCAATAAATTGATCGTGGACCTGATGCAGCAGTGAGCAGACTAATCCAATACAGCTTTATCTGCCATGGAGGCTGGGGTGGGCAGTGGTGGCCAGGAAATCGGCCAAGCCAGCCAACAGCAGCAAGAGGCACAGAACCATCACCTTGCTCTAGCCTGGCTTGATTTGTGTGTGTGAACATAGGGATGTGAGCAGTGCTCTGCCCATGCTGCGCCCTCACAGCTCTTCCAAGACTCCAGCTGGCCACAGGGCCCCGTGGTTCAGCAGGGATCAGCCCCCAGGCTGGACCCTGTGGCCCAGGGAGGACCAGCCCACCTCATTTTCTCATGCTGGCAGCCATGAATTCAAACACCTGATGACTTTTCCCCCATGGCACCGAAGTCATGCTCCCCCCCAGCTGCACCCACCACAACACAGCAAGAACTGCTGCCTGCCTGCTGAAAAACAAATCTGGGAGTACCCTCCCATGCCCCCTGACCTGTGAGCACAGGGAATGTCACACTTTGTCAGCTTAAATGGCCACTTGGGTCTGGTATTATGTCTCTGACAGTGGTTGCAGTCCTCTTGGGAGGAAGCTGCAAGAATCCCTACAAAGGAGATGGACCAAAATGATTTGGCCTGAGGGGAAGCTTCTTCCCAGCTTCATACAGTAAGTGGTAGGCCTTGTAAATCTATGTTAGTGAGGAATATGAGACTGAAAAAATAAAAATAAAAGAAAGTTTCCTGCTGAATGGAAAAAAGAAAACTGTTTTTTGGCATAAGTTCTTCAAGAAAGAGAACATAGGCCATTGTTATTATGAAGACTTTTCAATGAAAACACAGAAAATCATTGCCTTTTAGAGTAATTGTTTAGCTAAAGAAAGGTTACACAGCTTGTAGAGAATTTAGTAAGAAATTAAATCTCTCCAGCTCATTCATCATATTTCTGCATTTGCCAACTCTTCCCACCAGGCCCACACTTACTTCTTCCCTTTCTTCTCCCCCACTGTGGAGTAAGTAATGGCCATAAAACCCACAGAAAGGCAGCCTTACACACAGGCTTCCTGGTTATTGTGAGGAGGGGGAAAACTCAATAAGTTTAATTGCTTAGTTTGGGAAATTCTTCTATGTCCATTGTAAATAATTCTATGCTAAATCTACTGGAAATAGGATGCTGAGTGCTGGTTTCCAAAAAAGAGTCTCAACTGTTCACCAGGGCCTACGAGGAGGAGGAGTAGTAAGAAAAAGCCCAGGAATAAGGATCTCCCCTGCTGAGGACTAACCCAGGCATTTTGGGACTGATTTGGCTCCAGCCTGCTTTGAAGATGCAGCCACATGATGGCATTGGGAAGTTTTCTGTGAATCTTTACCTCTATAGAGCAATATGTGCTTTCTTTTTGAGGTGTGCCGGTCTGAGAGTGGAATTCCATAGTCTTGCTCTGTGCAAGTTAAATGGCTTCTGTGCCCTGAGCTGAACAGGAGGGAAGGGGAGTTATCCTCATTTCTGGTCCCCTTTGTGACATTTGCTTGGTGAGTCCAGTACTGCATTTCCTATCCACACTGTCTCTAGGCTCACACTGCATTTTCAGAGCCATCTCCAGGCCACCCTCAAGTTCAGAATGGTATTGCTACATCCTGGGTGGAAGAGAAAACACAGCACCAAAATTCAGGTCATGTGTCGGTAGCTCGATGCTATTGGTGCAACAGCAAAGCACTTTTTGGACAGAGATCAAAACTTTGAGTGATCATAAGGTGTTGGAGGAGAGCAGCCCTCACTTCCCTTTGCCAATATGGGAAAATCCTCAGATCCCTGGAGGGGTCTGGGAGCAGAGTGATCCCTCTAAGTTCAGCAGCTCTATAAAGTAGCAGTCCCACACCCTAAAATGGTGTTTTCATATCTGATCTTTGCAAATTTCTCTTCTTTACACACTAGAGAAGTTACCCCTTCATGAAAATTGTGTTCTGAACCTCCCACAACATTTGCTGGACAGGCCAAGAGAAAGAAAAGGAATATTCAAGTCAGCTTAGAAGTGCTTTGCAGCTGAAATGGGACACATGTGCTCACTTGGGGAGATTATTGTACAGAATATGGAATTCTTAGGGGGCTGAGCCTAACAAATGCTTCCAAGTTAGTGCTTTTTATCTCCATTCACACTCAGACACTAGCAGTACATCCAGCCTCGAGGATGAGTGTTCTGATCCTGAGGACAGACAGTCCTCTGAGCAACAAGTAGCTCTGACCTGGATTATGAACAGCTCTGCTCAGAACCCCCAAAATAAAAGGCCTGGTGTTGTTCCTGCAGCCTCTCACGTTCTCTGCCATGTCCTCGAGGTGTCCCTGCCCTGCCCCGTGTGCGGAGCGAGGCGGTGGCTCAGCTGTCAGCACAGTGCCACCAAACCCTGCCCTACCCCTGCGTCCCCGGGGCCAGCAGGTCCTGCCTGTCTGCCCAGTGCCATTCCTGGGCTCTGGGAAACGGGAGGAAGGCAGCAGGGAGTGCAGGCAGACAGGCCAGGCAGCCCGTGGTGCTCATTAATAAAGCACACGGCCAAGAGCCGCGTGGGGCTCAGCATCCCCCTGGGAGGGGGCAAAGGGCAGGGCACGGTGGCAGTGAGCAGCAGGGATGGAAAATCCCCGTGAAGGCAGGCACACGTTTGATTTGTGCAAAGGAAAATGTGTGCACTGGTTTCTTTCTTCCATAGGGTGGCAATGGAACCTGGGCACAGAGCGGCTCGGCAGTTTCAGCTGCAGGAGCGAAGCGCTGCAGGAGCTGCAGCAGCTCCCCAGTCAAGGTGCTGACTTTAACCTATGGATCCTGTAGGATCCATTGGGGCCTGTCACCTCCGGGGCTGCTTCCCTGCCTTCCTCCTGGAGAGGGGCATCACCTGCACCACGCTCCTCGGATTGCAGACTCTGGGCAGCAGCGCCTGGCTGCTCTCAGGGAAGGAGAGAATTCCCCTACTCTGGAATTCGCCTCCCCCCCTGGTCTGACAGATCTCACATCTGCTATCCTACAGGACACAGCATCCAGCTCATTTTTTACCTCATGCCCTTTGTTTTAAAGTGCTGCCAGTGAAAAATTGCAGGTTGCAGTATGCTCTCTAAAGAAGGCTTGTGGGGGAAGCAGAACAGGCTTTACCTTGTCTCTGGGAAAGAAAGTAATTGTACAATTAGGTTCGTGTATGCACCTGAGGCATACGGTGTTTTTTTCAGAGATAAATAAAAGCCCAGAAGGAGAAAGCTACAAAGATACCACTGTCTAATTTGGCAAAGGCAGGGAGCGGGAGCAGATCTAAAGGAGTTAGCAATTTCCTTGTACTATAAACACTTTGCTAAACTTCAGTGATTTCCCCCCTAAGTTACTATTGCTCTTTTAAAGATGTATTTCACAGGGTGCATTTTTGTACCTGGTCTTTATAAGGCTGTTCTGCTGAGCTTGCTGGTTTTCATACTTGTTATTTTGCTGCCTAGATAAGCTTGTTTGACTTTGGGGGGTTTTTCTTAAACTTTATTTCAGTCTTCTAGGCAGGTTACAGGCTTTTTGTTTCAGTTGTTTTGTGTTACAAAGGATGAGCTCTATCAAGATGTCCCTTGTAGCTGGGTGGCTCTAGGGCCCCACCAGGGAAAGTGTGAAAACACAAGACCTTTGCTTATTATCCAGGATCTGACTGTGCTTTGGGATTCTGCAAAAGCAGAACCAGGAAGAGCTTCTACTTCTGTCCTTCTAGAACTAAGTTTTATCTTTTCCTACAGAAAGCCAAGGGAATAAATATTTGGGTTTGTGCTTAACCAAGTTTTTAGAAACTACCTGGGATGGATCTGATATGAAGCGTGTTTACATTAGAGAGGGATTTTTCCTGAAACAGCTGGTCAGGGGCTACAGGATTCACTTTCTCACAGGGTAAAGTGGTTGATTCTCTGCTTGGGTGCCCGCAGTGGGAGGCAGTTTCTGTTCCCTGCATCCTCATAACCTCCCTGTGCAGGGCACATGAGCCAGTGGCAGGTAGGAGCGATTAGCTGGAGCATGGAATGTGTTTCTCCGGAGCTGTTTTTAGCAGCCCAAGTACAATTTCCAGGAAGATGTAGGCTAAGTAGGTGGCAAACAAGACTCAGCATAGTAAACAATGTTTAGTGTGAAGTGGAGCTGCAGCACGATGAGTGCAGCATGCTGATCCCTAAAGGAATTTTGTACCCTAGAGCAAAGCCAGAGCATTAGAGAGCAGCAAACAGCATTTGGAGTGGTGAGTGGCAAACCCTGGTCACAGGTTGCTGGTTTAGCATTCCCAGCTGCATGCATTCCCAGCCCATAGCCTGTGTTTCACTATTAATTTTAGGGAAAAAAAAACCACTTCAAAATTCAGAAATTCACCAAAATTTATTCACCTTGGTGCTACCGAGAGGCTTGTCCCTAATTAATGTGATGGGACTTTCCCATCCCTCTACCACTCTCCGTATTACAAGTCCTTGGCAATATGAGAGACGTATCTATTACTTAGTCATGAGGTATCCAGACCAACTTGCTTTTGAAACCAGAGCCCCTGTACCCCAGGCATCCTGTATTTCTGATTTGCATATGGAAAAGGCAGTTAAAAAGCTGATGCCCCCATATTGCTTGCGAGTCAAGTAGCAAAAGTAAATGATTTATCAAGCAAAGGTTACAACACCTGTGCCTTTTTGTCAACATATACAGGGGATGCCAAGTCAAGTGTTGCTTCTAATAGCTCAAACAGAAATTTAGATTCAAATAACCCCCAACACAGGACAATTCTGCAGTGAGTGGAGTGGCAGAGTGATGGATGGTATAAGCAGAGGATGGAAAACCAAACTGACTGAAAAGTTTGGAAACTGCTAAAACCAGGCAAAGCCAACAGCCCTTTGGGTGCTTTTGTTACCAAATCAAAACTACTGACCTAAAGGAGTTTAATTTCCCCATATCTTCTGTGATGGAGTGTTGTCCTGTTACAAACTTTGTTGACACAGGAAGATGGCTTTTTAATGAATATTATATAGACTCTATAAAATTCCTTTAAGGGGTTATATTTGACAGAACGTGACAAAAATCAGAACATCGTGCTAATGGAAATGTCTACTGATAATTTTTCTAATACCAATTAAGAAAGGCATGTACTGGGTTTGGTTGTTTAGAAACAGCCCAGGACAGAATGATCCTTGTCCCTTCCCAGCCATGCTGTTTTACATTTGCTTGGGATTTTATTCCAATGTTCTGGGAATGCCCATGTATGGGAACAGTGACTCCTGCTCCGTGGAGCTGCCACATCCCTGTGCAAATACTCACTTCTGCAGCACTTGAAGACTAATGATGATGATGATGATGATGATGATGATGATGTGTAAATAGTGCTTATAATCCAATGTTCCACCAAGAGAACATCAGAGCCACCAGAAATGTGACCAAAATATTTTCATATGGGTTGTAGCTGGACCATAATTAAAAAAAAAGCAGATGTTCAGATACAGCCCTCATTTTTATTTTATTGCTCTAGCAGTAGTTGCGTAACCCTTGTATTTAAGCTTGACTTCCAGAAGCTTGGAGTGTTCCCTGCTTCCTCTTGTCTCAGGGAACTGTGTCCCTGGCAGTTAGAGGTCCTCAGGACCTGTATCTTAGCCTGACTCTGGATGTATTCTAAAGATCCTGATGGAAAGGAGCCACCCCAGCTGCTTTTAGTAACACAGTCCTATGTGGTTTTCATTTGCATTTTGAAAATATCCTAAGTGGTCATTCTGTACACTAATGCTCTGCAAAAATGAGCACAAAAGCCTGTCTTTGTTCAGAGGAATGCTACGTAAATCCCAAATCATTGCAGTTAGCACTTTTACCTCACTTCTCTGACTCAAAGCACAGTCAACTTCAGAGTCCTTTCATGAATAAGTAGTGAGTTTGCTGATAAATTATATATTTAGTATCAAGTGGGCTGTGGTGGTGTAATGATGTATAGAAGCAGGGAGATGCAGCTGGAGTCAGAGACTGGAAGTCAGTCTCCTTGCCCACTGCAGCATGTTAGACTTTAATTGAAAGCTGTGCTTGAGTATTGTTTTTCACTGTACAGCATTGTTATTCACTACACTGCATTACAGAGGAGCACTTAAAGTAACGCTAGAGCACTTTAAAATGATTTAAGTCATAAATAAGGAGGATAAAAGTTTACAGTCAACAAACTTATCTGGAAAACTTAGGCTGCAGGATGCAAGTAAGTTTTAAGTATCTTTGGAGACTTAATACTGTTGTGTCTTACTACATAATCAATTTACCAACTAGGAGTTTTTCAAGTCTTCTGGAAAAGGTAAGGAGCATTCTCCAAAGGGTTTCAGGTTTCCTGAGCTATGAAGGAAAAGACCAAATGCTTAAGGACTTTAGCAGTACACCTTAACATCCCTGTTTCCCAATTTCAACTTATTTCTGTGTATTCCAGTTGTTTCCAAAACAACTGGAGAAATATGATTTAAATGGGAAGACGCATGAAAACTTGTCACACCCATGAACCCAATAAAGCACAAGGAAAAGTGGGGTGCAGGCTCAGTTTTGTTAAAACATGAAAAAAAAAACCCCAGAATCTGATGGGTTAAACCCCTCTCTGCATTGCTGCTGTACTTTCTGTGACCCTATTTAATGCAGAGAAGGTTTGAGATTCGATATAGTTTAACCTGTGCTGTGCACAGAGCTATAAACTAAAGCCCCTAACAAATTGTACACAAAGAGCAGACAGCAAAAAACCACGTTGTGCTTACAGGCAGCTGCTTGCAACCCTGTAAACTGAAAATCTTTGGGAATGAGTGGCCTGTTTCAGTGACAGTGGAGGTGCTGAAGCCATCACAACAAGGAATCTGTCTTCATGCACCTACTGTGGCATGTGACAGCCATTAATCTGCACACTAATTATTCAGAAGCCTATAAACCATTTGAAAGAACTTGCAAGAGCCAAGGGTAGTAATGCCCAGTTTGCCAGATACTTGAATTATGGCTTTTTAGTCACTGCAACCAGCTCAAAACAAAATCACTAATATTTTGTGTAGTTGACCTTTAAAAGAATTGCAACGTAGTCAAGCAGTCACTTCAAACTATAAACTACAGTTGTCCTAAAGCACTAACTCTGCTCACTTTTTTATACCTTCCCCCCCATGATAACGTGATATTAAGCCCAGACTTAATTTTTTCAACATCTGGCTCAAATTAGCTGCTAACAAAACTGCCAACAACTATTTTCTTAATCGACCCTGGGAATTTGATACAGCTTGGAAAAAGCACATTTAAATCTCGTCCTTCTCCTAAAGAAACACAAATGTTTACTTGAGCTTCTGATTTGACCATAGCAGGACCATGAATTCAGCTAAACCAGCTTTATAGGCCTGCCTCAACTGGACTTTTTTCTCTTTGTGTAAGGAAAACAGATGTGCTCGCAATTACAAAAATCTCCTGCTCTCTCAAAGCCCACCATGCAAATGGCCAACCAGGAATTGGAGTATTTTTCTTTTTTTCACATGGAATTCACTGGAGCAGTCTCCCATTGTGTCTGCTGGGGGACTACAGGGCACTGTTACCTGATGGGTCTCTCTGAGCTCCTTTTGCACCTCACAGACTGGTTTGGGTTGGGAGGGACCTTAAAGATCATGGGATACTTTCTACACTCCCAGGTTGTCCCAAGCTTTGTCCAACCTGGCCTTGGACACTCCCAGGGATAGGGCAGCCACAGTTTCTCTGGGCAAGCTGTGCCAGGGCCTCCCCACCCTGGCAGGGAAGGATTTCTCCCAACCATCTAATCTAAACACAATTAAATGCAGTGCCTGGGGAGCAGGATGGAGCCAAAGCCTTTGAAACCGCGGCCCTAGAGCAAACAACTGCACGGCGGGAGCCAACACCTTAGAAAGCAAAGAGAGGTCCTTCCAGTTACGAAAGCAGCATTATTACCACACAAGCCCAAAAATAAAAGAAAAAAAAAAGAAAAAAAGAAAAAAAAAAAAGAAAAAAAAAAAAAAGAAAATAAACCACAACAGACAAACAAACTGCAAGTGACATTTCACTGTAGTTACTGAGACCATGTGGGTGAAGTGACAGCGGCAGTGCAGCTGCTCCGCGGGGACACGTTAGAGGACACTGGAGGAGGAGAAGAAGAGGCTGCAGGCAAACAGAGAAGTCGAAAGCGGCCCACCTGAGTCTGTTGAGGGATATTTACAAAGCTTGGATCCCGTGGTCCAACACTGACGAATCGGTTTGCGGGGGAGGTGCTGGGTGTCGAGTAGGCTGTGAAGGGAAGGGACACATGCGTTGAGGAAGCGGCACTAGATTGCACACGAACAACACCAAAACACACTGTCTCAGAGCCACCTAAGCAGATGTTTGACATAGAAATGTGCGAACGTTTTAGAGAGCGAGAGTTTGGTTTGAGACACTGGAAAGGTTTGGGCTTAATGGTGGGGGTTTCAACACGTAGGGGACTGGGCTGCTGGGAGAGGGGATGGCCACAACGTGGGCTCAGGGGAGGGTGTGCAGCTCTCCAGCCTGAAGGAGAACCACTGCAGGCCTTTCCATGATGGGCTGGCACAGGAGATTTCTGCAGGTCTTGACTGTTTTCACTCAAATGTCTGGTATCTCTATTTTTAACAGAGTTTTGTACAGCAATGAAATTACCTAAGTGCTCATTAACAGAATCAGACCCTTTATTTTATACTAATCCAGCATTCTCTCTGGATATAAAGCTTTGGTTTTCATACTGCTGTGGTCTGCACTCTCTAAAATGTTCACTTGATGTGTTTGACAAACTAGGAAGATCCTTTCGGTAAAAAATTAATGGGTTGCAGTTTCACCAGGGTGGTAAGTGCAATCAGTCTGAAGGCTGAAGCTGCCTTTAAAAACTGGAGTGGCTCCCATAAATGTAAAGCTATTAAATGCAATGCAAGCCAAGAACCCAGATTACTTCCAAACTTGAAGTACTTTAATGATTTTATTGTTGCATTATATTCTCCACTGCAACTGTCCACAATGCCACGTATTTCTACATCCAAAAGCTTTCAATGCATTTTTAGTCTTCCTCTCATTTGAAAACCCTCAAGCAATCTTCTCTCTTCCTTAGTTTTTTGCATGTTTAGATCTAAATTCAAATAACGTAAATAGATGCCTTAATACAAAGAGGGCTCCTATCTATTTTGAATATATTTATGGGAATGCATTCTGCTGAATAAAATCCCCAGACAACCTAACTATCCAAGGAAGAGACAAAAAAACAATAGTAAAAGGAAAGTTACTTGCCAAATTCCAGTCAAGCTAAATATAATGTTGAGGCCTCAACATTACAGAAAAGTAGAGTGAGTTAAGAGTCAGAGAAGACACTGAGTTGGCTGTGTGGAGGAAACCCTTTTACCTTTCTGAAGGCAAATGTTTGTTGTAGAAGACTACACTGGAAGAGCCTTTGGTTTAAGACTGTGCCAAATCAGACCAATGCTCCACCTTGGCCATTGTCACCTCTCTTAGAAGCCATAAGGAGATGCAACCAAAACGGGTCATGCATTTACTTTCTCCCATTCTTTCCCACCTCTGATTATTTTCAGCTCAAGAACTTCCTGTATTTAAGGCCCTGGAGGGATTTCTCACCCAATGCCCAATCTGCACTTGAACCCATGTGGATGTTCTGCATCCCACAAAGCCCTTGCCAAGCCTAGGAGCATGCAGAACCATGTCCTTCAAGTCTCACAAGTGTCTTGTGATGCCTCACAGGTCTTACAGTTTCATCAGAAAACTTCTCTTTCTCAAGATTCCCCAAAATCACCCCAGAAACTGCATATCCTCATTTCCTACTGATATGAGGGAGGGTAAGGCACTCCTGGATTCTAAGAAGGAATTTTTCCCACTTGTTTCTGGTGAGGTGAGCTTTTCTCTCCAAGAAGCGAACACTTGCAAAAATCATGCAAGGAACCCTTTTCCTTCACAAAATCTTAAAGGAATTTTTAAGTGCACTAATTCATCTTCCTGAGATGGTTTTGCAAATTGTGGTGCAGCTTGAATATTATGAACAGGTAAGCTTGATGTTACTCCTGCCTGCAAATCAAGGAAGAAATTAACTGAGTAGATCTGGTGAGATGTTCTCCTCACCTTTTTACCATGTTAATTTGGTTAATAATTCAAAGAACCCACACATTTGCAAAGGGCATTTCCCTGTTGCTAGTGCCTTGCATTAAGATTCTTCTGTGCTGTTCTTTGTGGAGGTATTTTTTTTTTCTTTAACTAACTAATGTTGTGCAAGACTAAGAATTCCTTCTGCAGTGGGGAAAATTAACTTAGAGCTCAAAAATCAAACATCTGTTGTTTGGTTCTCCTGGTCTACTTTTAAGGAAGCAGATTGAGTGGAGAGGCCATTTAATCCCTTGGAGCAGGTAAGTTCCACCCAGAAGGGAAGGAACTCAAGATCTTGTTTACAGTTCCCCGCTGGCAGATACTTTTGCTGTGATATTTGGTGGAAAATCAAAGGGGAACCAGCAGAATGCTGACTTAAATGGCTTCTCTGTTCAAACAAAAAATTCGAAAACATTTGAAAAGTGTGTAATATGCACAAAAGTCCCCTCAAAGCTCGCTGGGTGAGTTGCTATGTATGCCTTCCTTCCGCTCCAAACGATGTTTAACTTGCTTTCTGAAAATACTCGGATGTCAGCTTGGTATTTCCTTCAGGTCATATAACTGCACTGCTCAAGCCAAGGGGGGAAGAGCACCAAAAAGACAAATATGCAGAGGATTTACACTGGACTCTCCCAAGGTGCTGTTCCCTCTTTGCTGTAAAATGTCCTAGGATGTTTGTGGATTTTAAGGGGCCATTTTGGCTTGGAATATTAAGCTGACATGGAACACACATTCCCCTCTTAGGGGGACATTTGTTTCAGGAAAGGGTTGCTTAGACTATGATCAACTTCCAGCTGCATCTTACTGTCTTCAGAGAAATACCCTTGTTTGACATGGAGGTGGGATTCCTGGAAGTCTGATCCCTAAACCTTGCCCCAGATTTAGGATGGGGTAAACTGTCTCACTGGATGAAGCTAGGTCACATTATATTATAGCATAAATACAAACTAAGCCTATGCTGGGGTCTTCAAACTCCAGTTTGGGAAAAGCCAAAGCATGGAAAGGAACAAGGAACAGCAGCCAGGTCTCTTAGGCAGATCTCCTCCAGATTTTATCAGCTTTGCTCCATGGGAATGGCACAGACCTACACTGGTTCACACCAGCTGATAGCTGTCCTGTTGGGCATGAATAGAAACAGCTTCCTGCCCAGCCTGCTCTTTCTGCTACTGGAATTCACTAAGGATTGTCTGCAACATCATAGCCCACAGCCAAGGAAATGAATGTGATGCCACAAATTTGCTATGATGCTTCACTTCAGGAACAAGCAAAACAGGAGCTGGCAGAGAAAGAACATTTGCTCACACAGACAGCTTTGATATTTAGCCAAAATGGCAAGAAATTGTATGAAAGACAAGACAAACAAACAGTTTTGGGAATGTTGTGTGTTTTAAAGTTGCCTGCAGTAGGGAAATGTTACTTTTAAATATACTCTCCTGAAATAATTGCTATTAAGAGCAGGAGTGTGTAATTTATCATTGTTCTGGATTAAAAGGATTGGTAGAGATGATTTGGGTGAGTGATGACCTAATGTACCACCAGGTCTCCCTTTTACAGACCAAGATGATGTGTATATGTGTTTGATATGAAGAGCTGTCCTGTTTCTCAAGCTGCATCAAGAGGAGAATTAACTGGAGGAATGTGGAGCAGTAGAACAATTCCTTCTGCACTGCATTCTGCAGCTGAGTATCTGAGAGGGAACTGCAAATTTTAGCAAATTGAATGATAGAGTCAACCCTCTTTTTTTGTGGTTGGGGAAAGGAGCAAACAGAAAGCTCAAACTGGCCCAGAAGGTGCTCAGTCAATGCATAGCAGAGGAGGGGAGAGAAAGCCAATCTGATTGCAGGATCATGGAAATGTTTAGGTTGGAAAAGACCTTAAAGATCATTGAGTCCAACCCCTACCCCAGCACTGCCAAGGCCACCACTTCCCCATGTCCCCAAGTGCCACATCCACACAGATTTTAAATCCCTCCAGGGATGGGGACTCCACCACTGCCCCTGCTCCAGTGCTTGACCAATATTTCTGTGAAGAAATTTTTCCCAATATCCAACATAAACCTCCCCTGGTGTGACCTGAGGCCATTTCCTCTTGTCCTGTCCCTTGTTCCCTGGGAGCAGAGCCCTACTACCCCCTGGCTGTCCCCTCCTGTCAGGGAGTTGTGGAGAGCCACAAGGTCTCCTCTGAGCCTCTTTTTCTCCAGGCTGAGCCCCCTCAACTCCCTCAGCTGCTCCTGGTGCTCCAGACCCTTCCCCAGATCCCTTCCTATCCCTGGACACTCTCCAGCACTTCAGTGTTTTCCTGCTGAATTCAAGGTGTGTCCTCACCAGTGCCCAGCAGAGGGGACAGTCACAGCCCTGCTCCTGTGGCCACACCAGAGCTGATCCAGGCCAGGTACCTTTGGCCTTCTTGGCCACCTGGGCACACTTGGACTCATGTTCAGTGCTGCTGACCAACATCCTCGAGCCCTTTTCCAGCTTTCCAGCCACTCTGTTCCAAGCCTGGAGAGTTCCACAGGATGCTGTAACCCAAGGGCAGGACCTGGCACTTGGCTTTATGAATCCTGTACTGCAGCCACAAGATCATTCTCATCATCCTGACACTAATGCCATTTAACAACAAAACTCCTTTGTTCAAAGGGACATTAACCAGTAATGAGTTTGTTTAAGTTAAGAGCTGTGAATCTCAGAAAATAACACTTTGTTTTAAAAAGCTGTTCAAAAGTCAGGGTGTACAGAATGGCAGTATCTTAGGCTGTGCTCTGGAATGATTTAATTATGATAGTGATAAAGCCCAACTGGAATGTAGCTGAGGTGGTGTTTGCTTTGGGCAGTGAGATATTAAACCCCAAAACTGCCAAGTTCAAGAAAATACTGTGTTGTGCTTGTAATGGGTTACCAACCAAAGAAAATCAAGAAGAGATCTGAGATAAGATAATGCTCGGTCTGCTTCTGATATCAAAGATGTCTTCTATTGAATAAGGTTTTGTGGAGGAAAAATGAACCTCCCAAACCTCGTGAATCCCATCTCCATTGTGCCATCTGACTGAGGAAAATGCTGGCTTTCCAAAGGGAGAGGATTTGCAGCTGAAATTGTCAGCTCCCAGAGCATGCCTGGCCACCCAGTAGCGGCAAATCCCCAGTGTGCATCTCCAGGGGCTCTTCCTCCCTTGGACAGCACTAATGTTCATGTTTTGGTTAATGTCACAGCTGGAGAGTTTCACTATTGCTCTGAGAATCATTAACCACCTTGTTGTGATTTTTAGCTCTCGTTCCCGGGAGGCCATGCTGTATTGAACAGCTGCTCCTGGCTCCTGCACCCCTCAGGAGGGCCATATTCCAATTTTTGGTTGGGCCGTGACTGCATTTTGTTTCTGCTGAGGGCTTTCTGCTAGACCAAAAAAGGGAAGGAGAATGGAGCAAATGCCAACCCCTTTCACTCCATTTCCTTGGGAGGAGGGGGGGTTCATTCTCTTCCACAGGGCTAAGGAGAGAGTCTGGCCAAAATTTAACATCACTCCTGCCTTTGTTGCATAAGTGACTTTCCAATATCCTCAAGCTCCGCGGGGCAGTCAGCCATAGCCCGGCGACACTCCCAGAACCGGTGCGCTCCAGCAGCTCGTAACCATGGAAAACACCTTTTTTGTGTGGCTTTTATGGAACTCTGGTGAATCTGCACTCGCTATTTGAAGGCTAATATTTAGTTAAGGAAAAAATAAACACGGAGGGAAATGGAGGGTTGGTCCTGATTGACACACTGAATGGAGCCCAGTGGGTCCTCCTGGCCAGCCCTGGCTGCGACGCCCCAAACTTCAGTTTGCTTTCCTCTTTATGTGGCCAATGCTTCCACTGGCTCTGGTTTATATGTCATAGTTTTTCTTAGAAAAATATTTCCTATAATCTACTTTTCTGTAAAATTTGTCCCTAAATTAAATTATATGCTTCTTTACAACTTGAGTCACTGTTATTCAAACCCCTCACCAAAAGGAAGATGCGTGCCTGAGTATGTACAGAACTATATGTTTAGACATCAGCGTGGCTAATTAACAAACAGTAATTATTTTCCTAATCTTTTGTTTAAATACCATTAACTGGCTGCTCTTGAGAAAACCTCCATTCCCAATTAACGTGGCAGCTGTCTGCTGAACACAGAGCCCAGTGACCAGCCCCAAGCCGACACTGATGCGTGTCCTGCTCCCTTCAGAGAAGAAATACCCATTTTTCTGCCGGCTGAGAATCCGGCCAGACGCACTCTGAGCTTGTTTACACAATCATAAAAATTAAGATTAGTGCTAAAATGTTGTTGGGAATCTTTTTCTTTTCTTTTCGACACCAGACACTGCCAGTAAACTGAGTCACAACCGTAATGACAAGTACACACTGACCTAGTTTTGTTTTTCCCGGTTCTGAAGACAAGGAAGTAGTAAAGCATTGCTGACTGTGTTCAGTGATAGCTATGACTAAACATTAACCTTTTAGATCCCACCCCTCAATCTTATTGATAAGACTCGGAAGTCCCCTCGGAAAGTGTCAAAACTTCCTGATAGCACCAGCGTTGGTGTAAGGTCAGAAAGAGGAGTGGAGGGGAGGGAATGAATCAACTTCTTCACTCAACAGAAATCTACTGATCAATTCGAGAAGTCCTGATTCTAGAAGATCGTGTTCACAATCTTACCAGACTGTCTCATACTAAAACCCATTTCAATTTCCAAGCGAGCCAGAGCATCTTGCTGAGTTTGCAGTTGATGCACTATCGTGTAGCAGAAGGCAATGAAAACCTCTGAGGAACTACCAGATTTTAAAAATGCCCCCTGGAACCTGTGCAAGTCTCCTGAACAGTATATAAAGCTTTAAAAATGTAGGCTTCACTTGGTCTGAAGAGTGAGTACCTCTCTGCACATCAAGCACTGGTTGCATATAGCATTTAAATAATAAGCTTAAAAAGCACACAAAGGGATTTGCTCTTTCGATTAGATTGATTTTTGTTTGTGGATGTTATTTGGATTCCCTTCACTGTGGAACAAGTCCCCTACAGTTGCCATTAAAGCACTGAAAGCTTCCCTTTTGTTTTTAAATGTCAGTTTGAGCATAGCTTCATTAAATCATTTCACAATTAACTCCCTGAACATCCAGACTTTTTTTAAAGCATCAGACACAGCTGAATTGCATTTGTTTCCCAGAAGAGTGACTCCAAAGTGGTATCCCCAAGTGTGTATCCAGGAATTCGTAAATTTGACTTGTGGCTACACAAAATGCATGTGGGAGCCGTGTGGGTGGTGGGAGAGGATTAGAGCTTTCTCCCTGGCCCTAAGACATACCGAAACTTCTTGCCTAAAATGCACGGCATAAGGGAAAGATGTCTGGAATAATCTAGGAAGATTTATTCCCTAAAGAACGACAATTGAAGTAAACTGGAAAGGGTTGTTAGTTTAGCCCAATGTGTAGAAGCAGGGATGTTTTCAAGGAGATTGCCTGACTTCCATGTGGGATCTGTCCTCTAAAGCCTGACTTGAGATACCAGCTTATCACAGAACCATGGAATGGTTTGGGTTGGAAGGGACCTTAAAGATCACCCAGTTCCAACCCCTCTGCCACAGGCAGGGACACCTTCCACTAATCAGATTGCTCAGAGGCACATCCAGCCTGGCCTTGAGCACTTCCAGGGACGGGATATCAGCTTGAATCCTCATGGCAGCTAACAAGATCCCCAAGATCCGAGCTCTGGGTCTCAGCTGAGCCACCGGCCTCGATTTCCCTCACGCGTGGTTGTGTAAAATGCCAACCAAGTCCAAAATAAAACTGCAACCTTGAGCTAAGGCTTTCCCTGCCAACACAGGAGCAGCTCAAGGGTTTTGTCCATCACGGAGGGCAGAGAGCTCTCCTGCTTCCCAAGGTGTGTGCAGTCCTTATCCCCGCACAGCCGAGCGCCGGCGGTGCCGGTAGCCCTTGGATCCCGCTGCGTCTATACTTACTTGGAGAAGTGGGAGAGGTGGCCCCTCCTTCTGTTGATGTGGTTGGAGGTTTTGTGTCTGGCACTGGCAGAGGCACAGGCCTAGCCATTGGTGGCGGAGGTGGTGGTGGCAACATTGGGGTAGGAAGGAATGGATTGTGCACCTTGCCTTGGCTGCTACCATTGGGCTGCCGAAAAACAAGCAAACAGACAAAAATTATACTAAAAATCAGCTATTAGGAACCTCCAGTAAAAACAATCTAGTTAAAAACTATGTGCAATATATTTACAATTACTTGAGAGGTGGCAAAGAAAGTGCTGGCTCAAATTCTCCATGGACTTCAAGGAACTTTGTGTCAAACTCTGTGAACCTTGTGAAACTATGGAAATTCTGGCTTTTAAACACTTGTCCTATTAGCAGCTTGTCTGAACTAAGATTAAATCGTCCTGGATTACATTCTACTCCTCTTTACATTTCCTGCAGCACTAACCCATGCTCATTGAGAGGTGAAGCAGTATTTTTGACCCCTAAAATCCTCCAGCTTCTTGCCTCAGTTATACCCTCAGGATATCAGTGTCTAAGACTTGAGTGTAAATTTCTTAAAGATACTTCTCATTAAGAGAAAAAACAAGCTTTTTTGGTGGTCTTAAAAATCATGCTGATATCTCATTACAGGAAAATGAATGAGTGTGTATTAAAATAACTCTCTCTGTGCTCTCCCACATCCCTTTTGAGTTAGCAATAGTGTAGCTCTTGGTTTAGCTGCCATTAGGATCATATGGAGAAATGACTGAACTTAGAACAGCTTCATTTTACACGCTGGGAGAAAAAAACCACCCTCCCTTCAGTCTGGGATGTGGTCAGTCACAGGCTGAAGGGGATCAGCTATATGAGTGTGGTCTTTCAATTAATCTCCAGAAAAATGTGTCCAGAAGTAAAAGTGTTTTCAAGTATCACAAAAATAGGAATCAGGCTTAGAAAAACATGCCAACCCTCCCCCCAGCTTATTAAGTTTACATTTTAAATGTAACCCAGCCTGGACACTTGAAAACCATACAGATAGATGCCAAATACCATTATAAAGAGAAAGTAGGACAGGCTGTGAATCAGGTGTTCCATTTTAGTGACAAAAATGATGAGATCATTTTCGACAGCACTCTACAAATTGATCTCACTGCAGCTCTTCTGGCACTGAACATTGGCTTTTCCATTGATGATAAAAGCTCAGCTTTAAACACAGATCCATATTCTAAGTACTGCTAAAGAAAATAATATTTTAATTCCTGTTAGGGTTTCCATTAGCCTGAATTGCTGGGGACAAAATACTCATCCTGGCAAAACACTTGGGATTTTATTTTCATTTCACCTGCTTTGGCACTGACAAAAGGCCTTAAAGTTGTGGAGGTGCAAATCACGCTTGTGCTAGAGCAAAAATGGTTCAGGGGATAAATAAGACTCAAGTTCATCTGCATTTAACTTAACAGCACTCCCATAGACTTCAAAGACTGCAGTTACTAGAGTTTGCAGCAAGAAGCAATCCTTCAGGGATATTTATTTTTCCAACATCCAGCACCTTTAATAAACTAATATATTGGTGACATCTCTCAAACACTATCTTGTCTCCCAATTAGGTCCCTTTCCTGCCAAGAAGACCCCTGCTGCCTGTTCATTGTGAGTGTGCTAACAGTTCATAATGCTGAATGGTTTGGGATAAATTAAGCAAATGAATACTCAAGGAAAAAGAAAAGCACTGTATTGATTTGTTGTCTAGACATAAATGTATCTGCTAACATATTGCAGACATTATTCAAAGCCAGGACTAGCTGGAATAAGTAGAGTCAGTTTTTCTGCTGGGGAAAGGAAAACACTGAGAACAATACAGCTTATTAAATAAGTGTAATAAATTAGATGCTAATAATTAAACTAATTCTCATTAACACTTTCAGTATGTCAGGAGAGAAGCAGTAATTTTGCCAGTTATTACTTCATTGGCTGGAAAAAGTTACATGCATTACATTTCATGAAATATTCAGAGCATTATTTTAGATTTGATTTACATAAAATTTATAAATTCTCTATTCGTCCAGAATGCTATTTCAATAATAGCAAGATGATTCACTTTATTTGATTAAAAAATAAAAAAGAAAATGGTTATTTGAAGCTTTGGAACTCTGCTTAATTTTTCATAGAGATAAGGGGAAAAGATAACTGCTTACAGAAATAACAAACCATAATAAACTGTACTTTTAACATCTTGAGTTCAAGTACTGGTCAACTTGATCTAAAGTGCTATAAGGCAGTATTTTTTTTTTTTTTTAATGAACTTAGCTGATCTGAAACATCTGTTTCTCACCCTCCCTTTTCCTGCTCTTCCCCCCCACTCTTCCCTGAACTTCAAAAATAATTAATAAAAATTATTCTGCCTTTGTATTTTGTTAACCCTGGTTCCACAAGGGTTACAACACATGCAGCAAAGTCGTTTGTGGGGGGACCCAGCAGGTCACTGAAGCACCAGCTTCTCTGACACTTCAAGCTGCTTTCACCACAATGTGGTGGAGTGGTTTTTTGGGGAGGTCTCTTGTTGGTTTTTAAAACACTTTTGCAGCACAGCATTATTACTATTATATATATATATATATATATTTATTTTTTGTTTGTTTGTTTGTTTTCTCTTCCAGCAACTATTCAAAGTGTGCTCCTGCAGGCGACATGCTGTTAAAATAACCCCATCAATAACCCCGTGGTTAATTTTTACAAAGGACAAACACTTCTGAAGAAAGAAAAACGGCTTCCTTACATTTAGGAACCCCACCTGTCCAGCCTGCTGACCAGCGTCGGGGCAGACAAGTTGGACAAACTCTTTCAGAGTCTCCTGAGGATGATAGCGGATTGCTGGGTGTGAGAAGTATGGCCCAGGCTGTTGAATAATGGGTGATGTTGGAAAATGAAGAGTCGATGGTGTTGCATGTGGACTTGCTATAGGAAAGAAAACAAAGACGTTATATAGAGTTTTGCCTCTGGAAAATAAAACAGTTTCATTGTTGTTGTTGTTGTTGGTTTGTTTTTAAATGTACAGTATTGTTTATACATCAATTAATATATTAGACCACATTGTGACCTACGCTCGCTTCGTTTTGATCCTGGAAGCAAACAGAGCCAGACATTTTGAAGGATTTTCTGTGTTTTTAGTGGACACATAGAAAGGAATCAGCAGTCCTTTGTGTGACTGAAAACTATTCATCACCTTAAGAGCAGCCCTCATCAATCAGGCAATAAAAAAATGTATTTGGGAGATTAGGGTTGATTTAATTGACATTTCATGTAACTTGGATTTGCACAAATGAATCCATTTTACATTGTAGTATAAATGGTCAGTAATTTAAAAATGGTCTAACGCTTCTTGTTGTTGGGTTTTTTTTTTCATCTCACTTCAGGAACATTTATTTTAAGCAACGTGTTTTCTTTTAATGAACATGCACAAAGTGGCGAGATCGTTTGGAAAATTACATTTACATTTCTCCTGAATCACACTGGGCTCAAATCTTCAGCAAGCCCCCAGCTCGCTCTCGGGGATGAAGTTTAATTTGGTGAATTTATGGGCCAACAAGCCAGCTGGAAAATGTACTCCAGAGAAGGTGCAGAGGTGTGATGTACACAAACCCATTGGCAATGACCGATTTTACCCTCAGCTGATTTCAGCAGAACTACAAGTGCAGCTCCAGAGCCTTTTGCTCTCCTACATTATGTGACACCTTTGCCCAGTTCCTTGGCCTTCAAAATATATTGGGTTGGACTCTTGTTACCCAGCAGTGCTTTCCATTGTTAGTTGTCACCACGAGGTAGCAACTGCTGCCACTTACAGTGCCATGAATTCTCCCTCTAAAAATGAGGATTCACTCTTCCTTCAGAATGACCAATTAATCTGGTTGCACACAAGCTCATCTGTAAATCATTGTTTATTTCTCACCAAGCAGTCATTGTTCCTCCCTTGGCATGTTACCCTGGGAGTCTTTCAGAGGTGTCCATGTGCAGAGATTGTGCTCGTACAGTGCATGTGACCAATCAGATAAAGGCAATGCAAGGAGGGAAAATCCTGCAGAAACTCAGGTGTTGGCTCAGAAGTAATTTAAATATACAAGAGGGGAAAAAAAAAAAAAAAAAAAGCCTTTGGCACTTTTGGAAAAATTGGAGAAATGCGGGAAAGTTAACTAAAATCAAACACAAATGAGCAAACATTCATTTCATGATGAATGTTATGAAAAACCTTCAGTTAAATAAAAGCTAAAGTCTGCTTCTTACTCTTGTTCGTTGCCAGTTTAATAATATGACACTTTATTAATAATTTCTTTTCTTAAGCATTATTAAACCATTAGCAAACTCAAGAGCCTGAAGATGTGGATAAAACGTGAACTTGGAAACAGCAGCAAGGAAACTACTGCATTTTCCTGTAAACATTCATGAAGGGCTGGCTGGGCAGCCCTTCTATACACGTCATTTTCCATCACAGGACAGGAATTACTGCTCTGACACCACCACCAAAAAGAGCTGCACTCATGCCAGGGGTGCTGGTATGGGATGGATGTGACACCCTTGTCCTTGCCATGAAAAGCTCCCTGGTATCTGTGTTAACCCCACAATTCTGCTCCCCTTAATTCTGTTGAAAATGTTCCCAAGAGAAAGAGAAACATCAAAGGCAGAGCTAATGGGGGATTCCCTTCAGTGAGTGACCACCACGGAGCAATTATGACAATGGACAGAAAACTGAACAGTGTCCAAGGAGCCACCTCACCCCAAAATAATCCCCTGCCTCTGACTGGTGCTGCTCTGAGGTGGACACCTCCATTCCACCCACACACCTTCAGTCAGGTAGATCCCAGCCAGCATTTTGATGACTACAACAGCATTTCTATTAGCCTACAGTATTTCTGTCTTCCTCCCTTTTTTTATCTGCTTTTGTAGTTCCCCCTTTCCTTGTGTGCCAGATGGAATATGAAGGATGAAGATAAAAGTGAGAAATGGACATTTATGTGACAAACATCTAATTAAGTAGGAAATAAATTGAAATTTCTGAAATATAAAAAGAGAGTTTCCTTTTAGTATCAGCTCTTTTAATGCTATTTGAAATTGTTATGCAATTGCACCGTCCTTTATGCACATCTGGGAACGAACTCATTTCTGTTCTGCTGGGTGAAAAGGACATTGAAATGCATCTCAAACAAGAAGGAATAAAGAATTGCATCCAGGGAACATGTGGGAATTCAAAGCTAGGCCTGAGACAACACTGTATTTAGCTTTTCCAAAGTACAGCTCTTCATTTAATAATTTGATTTGCTCTAAGAAAGATTAAAGAAATTCTGAGTGGCATGTAAGGAGCAAGCCTTTCTCTGCTGTCTTGACCTCCTCAGCACGTCAGGGCAGAAAACAAAGTGGAGAGTGAGTGTCAGTGACCTGCCCAAAGAGAGAGAGAAGGAAAACAAATGCAGGAGTGATCAACAATAATTCAGCAAGGCAAAGTGCTGCAAGGAGAAAGTGGTTCCTCTTCGGAGCCTCGGCCAACTCCTCAGCCCATCTCCAAGGGCTTCCTGCTGATCAGGGAAGGACTGGGGGAGGGAAACAAGAAAATTGGCTTCATTCCTCAGCCTGTGCCATACACTGACGTGGAGGGGTCATTTTCTTCTTAGCATAAGAAGTAATGAGTGCAGTAAGGATCTCCAAAGGTTTGTTTTTGCAGCCTCTGACTAGGAAATAGCAAATTTCTCAAGTGCCAGAAGAAAGGGCTCTTTGATAAGAGGAGAAAAACCACTACTATGAAACTGATCAACATTACAAATGTGCCTGCCTGATACTAGAGAGAGGGAATTAAATGTTAAAGTCTAAAATCTGCTGGCCCAGACACAGACCATTACTCTGATAGCTGTGTTGTGGTCAGCAACTCTGGTGAGTGCAAAACTGGCCACTCCAACAAGTTCTGAGCGCAGAACACAAATGTGTTTCCAAATATAGGGGCCCTCACAAGCATTTTTAATCAGTTGAAGCACAAGGGGTAATGAAGCAGGTCGTTATTTTCCCTGTTTGCCTCTAAAAAGGCCAAGGGCCCTTTCAGTCATGATTTTCAGACTTAATAAAAATTATAAAGTCTTTAATTCCTAAACTCACACCTACAGTGATGGAAATTACTCTGTGTAAGAGAAGAGGCTCTTATTGCTTCTGATGGGATATTACAAGTCTCAATCAGAGATTGTAAATTCTTTGAGATCTTCAAATGGAAGATAAAATAGGTCTTTGTCTATTATTTATTTACTTATTGACTTATTATTTATGTATCCCTAAGCAGCTCCATCCTGCCAAACCATATTTCTCCTGGCGTCTTTCAGCCTGTGACATTTATATTTTATTATTGACCTCAGTAAATGACATAAAATATGACTTCTACAATCTATGAAAAGATGTGTACTCAAGATCAGAACTTCATTTCTACCTGCTGTAGGTATGGAGGAGTTGGACTCTCTGGCGTTATGAAATCTGTTATTTTGTGTGGGGGTTGGAGGCAGGAGTTATCCTTCCATCTCAAGGCAAGCATAAATATTTCAAAGCACACATGATTCTAATTCCACCAGAGCTCGTCTGAAACATCTCAGACTTTTTATTGAAAATGAGATGATAATGTATGGTGGCCTGCAACAGATATTACCAGTATTTTAAAACTGCTGCTATTGGGCCAAGTAATTATGCAGTACAGCTGTTGCGTGCTACACTGGATTCCTCAGTGTTTTATGAGCTCGTGGTGCTGTGCAGCACAGAAGTCACAGGATTTTTCAGAATGCTGAATTCAAACCTCTGATTATGCAGGTCTGTCTTGCCTTTCTCCCCTTCTTGATTTGTAGTAGCCAATAATAAAGCAAGTAAGCGATAAAATAAGCTGCACCCATTGATTGGGTGAGCGCTGCACGTGGCTGAGGCTCTGAAGAAGAGCCAAAATTGTGAATCCTGTCCGAGCGAGCGATGAGATAATAAAGGATCAGTTAATTTGAAACAGGTTACAGTTTTCTTCAGATATTTAGGATCCTGGAACAAAGGAGCAGTTCCTAATAAAGAGCCCTGGGATGCTTGCTCCCGGGGAGTGCTTGCTGACACGGTGAAGGGACACCGACAGTGCTCAGACAGGTTTTCCACCAGCACAGCCCAACATATGGGGGCACAGATTGATCCATCCACCTTCCATCTCCCCTTCCAAAAAAAGCCCTGCCAACCCCCTTCAAGTCCACACCACTGGATGGAATTTCTTTCTTCCTGAAGTCCTTTGAAGTCTTTGAAAGGGCTGTTTGGTGTTGCTCAGGAAAAGGTGTTATCACCCTGGGCTGTTCCAGGGAGAAGTGCTGGGAATCACAACCACAGCTCCATCACAGGCACAAGGGCTGGTCCATCAGCTGGATCAGGGCACAGTGCTCAGATACCTCCTCTATAAAGTGATAATTAAGTTTACTAATACTTCATTAAACATTGATCAGCCTTCCTAGAAATAGTAACATTAGAACCATAATGAAACGGGATCGTTTTTTACCCGCTTGTTTTTGAGGCCATTATAATTGGCTTCATTACAATTAAGAAAGTATTTTCTGAAAAGTCATTTCCCTGGAAATGTTAGAGAACAGTTTGTTCTGCTAGAGACTTCCACGTCAGGCTTCTAAGTTGCTTTAACTCCCTGCGTGCTGCAAACTTTTCTCCTGCCATTCCAGTGATGCCAGTTCAAATTATGCGAGATGGATCCCACCCTTTGTACCCCAAAGGTACTTATTCTCAAAATTGACCATATTAGAGGACTAATTGGCTAAGCCACCATGCTGGCTGATGTGAAATGCTTTCAAACACCATGAAACAGCTGTGTTTATCGGAAATATGAAGAGTGACTTTTTAATAAGGAGATCTGGCAATAATCCAAATTTGTTGAAAGGAACTTACACTTCTGTGTATAATAC